CAATTGATTAAAAAGAGTTTAAAGAGAGTCGGTAAAGCAGAGTGAAAGCAGCTGGTAATCTTAACATTTGAGAATTCAGAATAGTGGCCGCAGAATGAAGTCGCATCAAAAATGAAAATTTTAGACACAATCAAGCTTAAGACACTCATTAAAAAATTTTAAGAGTTGTAAGGAGGGTCCAAAAATTCAATTATTGATGAACATCAACTATCCCGAATAGCACAAATCGGTTAATCACATAAAATGTTGGCACCAAGCTAGTAAGACTCTAGCATCTTCAATTTAAATCCAGCATTATGCTAGAGTTACGCAAGCTTAAATCCGGATTTCTATTCGATTAACTGACTTGTGCTATTCGAGTATGTCCAACCCTTAAAAATTCCAGCTATTAATTCAATGTAGTCCACAATAAATCCCAAAATTGCCTTAAATCTTGAGGGAAATTAAATGACAACCCCGATGTCATTGCAGCAAGACGTAAAAGTAAATAAACTAGAAAAACTTATCACAACCTTATCATCAATCAATCTCTAATGTGACCTTCAACTTTTATTGACAATGAAGAACGAATATCCACAATGAATCATTACTTCTTATGCTTACAGCTTCTACAATGATGCCGTAAATGAAACAAAGTCTGGAATTCTCATGGGTGTCAATTTTTATTGCTTCTTATTTATGTAGGCAATGCATAAAGGAGAGAATTTTCATACTTCGACATTGAATGGATGAGTAAAAGACACAGGAAGTAAAGCATATTCTTATTGTGAATTCTAGGGTTTGGTATCCTAAGCACACCGTTTCCTTTAAACCCCTAAAAATCCACCTACTTATTCCTGTTCATTCATCTCAATATACTTTATGTCACAATCTTGTGTAAACATTCTCGACAATTTCCATCTCAACTCTCTTTCTTCATCCACATTAAATGCCATAAAGAAACCTGTGAATATTTATGAGACAGTCTGATTTTTATTAATTATCGCAATTTTCACTGTCTGTCTTGAATTTTATAGCCGTCATGAAAAAAAAACTCATTTCTCAGTTCTTCTTTCCTGATTTAATTTCACTTCCACTTGAAGCTCTATTGAGAATATAAATAAACGAGACGAGAGAAAAATAACACAAAAACATTGGCACTTTTAAGTCTGATGACATAAAAAGAAAATATTATGTTCGTCTAGTGGGAATTGGAATTGAAGACGGTGTTAAATGTCTGAAAATACCTTTGAGTTATTTTTAATTAATTATGATTTTTATGGTGAGGCATTTTTAAGGTTTCCTTGTGCTTTGATACATTTTTTTCATTTTTGCTGCAATGGCTTCTATTTGCAGGAATATGTTTTGTATTTTTATGATTTTTTGAGCTCTTAAGGTAATACAACAAAGGCTTTAGACTCTCTCAGAGTAAATTTTTCAAGAATTGCTGACCAAATATTAGAAAAACACGATAAGATACCCAGCAACTTTACGTTTAAAAAATCAGCTTAGTTTAAAGCACCTTAGAAAGCAGAAAATCCTCCAGAAACTCAAGAAAGCAGAAAAAAACATTTTCTCAATCGTAATCCTCAGACATCTTTCTTCTTACTTTCTGCCCCATTTCTATGAAATAAGCTCAAAAAAAGTCTCAATACAAAATTGAAAGATAAGAGGAAGAACAAGAAGAAGGAAATTCAACATCCTTATCGAGCAAAGATCCTTATGCAAACAGATGATGATGATGATAGAGGAAAGGAACCAACACAGACACAGAGGGAGCCGTTTGATCTCTTTTTAATTTATTTACAAAATCTATTTCGATTCCGGTGCCTTTTCAATTCACTTCCTTTTTTTTTCATATGGATAGATAGAGTATAGACAAGACAAGCATGCGAGGAGAGGAAATAAAGATCCAAAATAAATCCAATTTATTTCCATGAGCGCTGAAATTGTTTTTATGGGTTTTCTTTGTTCCTGCTTGGATTTTTTTTGTGTACAATGGGAGAAGTCGGAACTTCAAAGAGACTAGAGTTTTTAGAGATAAGAAGGATGCAAATAGTATCTATTAATGTGTAGATTTGACTTGGCGAATCGAGTCATGTGTAGGTGAATCTGCTGTTGCAGGAGTAAGACCTTCGGAGTTAGTAGCTAAGCAGCAGACCTGAAATCTTTAGCTCTCTCTGTTTTGTGGGATATGGGTTTGAATCCTACCTGGATTCAATTTTTCAATGGACATCATTTTGTTGCTGATTTAAGAAGAATTTACACAATTCTGCTTATAAAGGTGAAGGTGGGTTGGTGGGTTTGAAATACTTACTGTAACCATGTTCCTATGGTTACAACAAAAGGCTTTCATTCTGACTTTCTTGCTGGTCTTTGTCACCTAGTTTGAACAAATTCTCCGTCCGCACATTAAACTGACATTCCTTCATCACTGTTCTGGGCCACGTAGCTTTAGAAGCTCCTAAACGTCGCTTCATTTGCAGATTCCATCCAAGAGTCTGAGTCTGAAATGTTGTGATCTTAAATTTATGTCAATTGTCACATTGACTGCTGCATCCTCGCCTTATCAACTTAAATATCAAATCGTTCACACATTTCACAAATTATCAAACAAAATAAGATAAGAAATTCATCCCAAAAGTAAACCGACTAGAAAAACTACAATATCCCAGATATCCTAGAATAATCAATATCCTTACACGTGTTGGAATCAAAATATCCTTCATGAATTATGTATATTTAAAGAATTGAAGTAAATGCTAAATTTCCTGGAAGGTAAACAATGAAATGAGACATGTCAGGCTGATTGAAGGAAATAATTTTGTTAACATAATTATGAGGATGAAGGGACAATGAGTGCTGTGGGAAAAATTTAAGAAAATTAACTTTTTGGGATCGACAAAATGAAATTGAGATGGACGATTATTGTTAAGTTGGGTAGAATTCTTTCATGACAATTTATTTCGAATTAGAAAATGGCTGTTCAATTATTGAAATTGAAAAGTAATTGAGATGGAATTTTGGTAATGTTAAGGATGCTTGTGGAAATTTAAAGGGTATCTAGAGTCGTATTAGGTGATCAGAAACTAGATTCTATGGCTACTTGAGCATTCTTGGATCCAAGCATTGATATTTCAGAATTCAGAGCACTTAGGTCCAGCCATTCTTCAATTTCCCTGTAAATCCATCCTCAGTCAAACAAAATAACGTCCTAAATATAAAACAAGTCAGTCGATAAATGTGAAAAATACAACAAAGCAAAAAAAAGGGATTTAAAATTCCCATATTTTTTTCCTTCCTGCCCCAAATACAATACGTGCTCCTACCTCCACACAGGAAGGAAAAGAAAGCAAAAGAATTTGATTGATGATGCAAAATTAAAGAGAATTCCAAATTGATTCTGTTTTTATTTTTATATTTTTCGCAAGCCATTTTTTGAAGGGCTCAACTTGTCAGTCAGCAAATAATCAGCTTTACAAGTCAGGAAATATATTTATATAAAGTAGTATAAAAAGTAATGAATGAGACATAATGTTCATTGACAATAAGAATTATTCAAATTGATCGTGCAACAATGAAAAGTCGGAGTGAAAAGACATTTTAATCGGGCGTAGGGAAGGCGATAGAGAAGATAAAATAGAAGTGCAGTGAAGGCACTTCAGACATCATCAATTTTTATGACTGCAACAATAACCGTTAAAAGAAATTCTATTCAATTAAATCGCATGAAAAACTTTTCACAATTTTTTTAATGCCTTCTTCTTTATTTTGCATTGAACAAATAAGCAAGTAAGTTGGATTATTTATTGGAACTAGTTGAGGATGTGGTGTATTTTTAAAGGCGGAATTGAGATAATCTTAGAGAGATCCATGAGATTCTTAGAGAGAATTGAGAGAATCTGAAAGAAAATCTAAGAGAAAATTGAGAGTGTCTGAGAGAGAACTGAAAGAATCTGAGAGAATTGAGAGAATCTGAGAGAGAATTGAGAGAATCTGAGAGACAATTGAGAGAATCTGAGAGACAATTGAGAGAATCTGAGAGACAATTGAGAGAATTTGAGAGTTAATTGAGAGAATCTGAGAGAATTGAGAGAATCTGAGAGAGAATTGAGAGAATCTGAGAGAGTATGAGAGAGAATTGAGAGAATCTGAGAGAGAATTGAGAGAATCTGAGAGTGAAATGAGAGAATTTATGAGAGAATTGAGAGAATATGAGAGAGAATTAAGAGAATTTTAAAGAGAATTCTTAAAAAATGAGAGAAAATTTTAAATGACAAAATGATGCATTATATCCCCCACTGACCCCACAAAAATCCAGTAAATAAAAAGCAGGAGCTAACTAGCAAAGAAATGATAGAAGTTTGAAGTGATATGGTTGTTAAAATTAATGATAATTTCTATCGCTCTTCACTTCAGCTACTACTTCATACCATTCTAGAAATTATTGTGCGGCGTACATGCATTCATTGTTGCAAGTAATCTCACTTAATGGTACTGGCAGTTTATTTTAATTAGGGCAATTTATAATATCATCTTTCTTTTCTTTTTCAGCTTTTTTTTATTTTTCTTTCGCTTGCTCAATTACTGTTGATGTTGCTGCCTTTCATCGCCATCACATTGTCGACTGCTTTATGCTATAACAAACTCGCTCATCAACGATAATTTTCATTTATTTCTCTTTCTCGGCTTTTTTTTTGGTTTGATGAGCAATTCCTCTATTCATTCTTTTGCCTTTTTTGTTCTCAATGTTGTAAAAAAATAGAAATGAATTTTCAGTTTCATCTTTACTATCTGTGGGTGATCTTTAATGTCTTTTGATGATGAAAATTGATTCATTTATGGTTCGTCTTACTTTTTAAAGTGAGTTTTTTGAGATATTGAAATTTTATTGATTCTTATTAAACTAAAATACCTTGTTAGATGTAAAAGATTCTAAAAATCACAAAGTAACATTGACGTTATTTATGGACGACCCTTTAACCTTATTTTAACACAAAAAATCATTTTTTATTCAAATTCTAATTGAATATTTCCAACAAAGCCAAAAAGTTAAACATTAGATCACCTCCTTTGTTGATCCATGCAACATTGATGCGATAAATTCCAGTCGGGAACATTACAACAACTCTTCTGTCAATTGTTGTATTGACTTTGTCGACTATTCCTGGACCTAATGGACATCTTTTATAAATTTCTGGAAATTTTTCTTTGACAACCAAGATAATGATTTTAACAAGAAAGTTGGAAGTCAGTTTTGATGTTCCGTCCATAATTTTACACCAATTTAAAGTTGGAATGTTTTTAAAAAGTTCTCGAAATTCATTATTGGAGTCTTTCTTGAAAATGCTCAATTTAAACTGAAAGAAAGAAATTTAGTCAAATTATTTAAAGTTTCTGATTTTAACGATTGCTGCTCAAATATTGAACTCACCATCATAAAATTTATAGGTTGGATGATCTTCATCTTATTATTAAACAAATATCCATTAACAAAATTACAAGTTTCAATAATAACACTTTTATTGTCACCATAGCATTTTTCTAAAGTCAATACTTTATAGTCTGACTGTAAAGCTATCGATATTATCGAAAGAAACAAGATGAAAGTAAAATTTTTCCACATGCCTTGAACAAAATTTCAATCTCAATTGATTCCGAATTTCGACAATAAAATAAAAAACATTAAATTCATGCATTAAAAAAACAATTAAATTTGTAGGTTAACATTACCTAAAGCTATTCAATTCGCCATTAGCTTTATTAATATCCGTTAAAAAATCATAAATTATTATTTCGTATATTAAATTAAGTTCTTTTCTCAAATGATTCATTAATTTGCAAGCTAGTTCGCTGAAGCTATGTTCTGACTTTGAAGGCATATGGACTTAGTCAGGTGAGTATCTAAGAGAGTATGGATCAATTTCAAAGTCATTTCCTCAGAAAATGCATCATTAATTTTTTTAAAATTCAAATCAAAATAATATCCTCTTAAAAACTTGTCCTATGCTGCCTAATATCAATTCCATTACATTTTAGTGCATCACATTATCTCTTATATGCCGCGAAATAATTTTATGTTGAAAATTTGTTGCCACTGCTGTTGTTTATTTGGTATGGTGCGTGTGTAAATTTCATACTACATATTTTTGTTGTTATTGTTGTTGTTGCCTCTTTCCACATCAACTCGAAGCAGGAACAAGAAGAAGAGCATAAGAATTCTTCATAAAATGTTTTCTCATCTTTCTGTTGGCTGGCATTATTACTGTGATGAAACAAGATGCTGTAATTGAAGCGTAAAACCATAAAAAAAAAGTTTTTTTCTCTCTTCCTATTTTGTTACTGCTTATTTTCCCTTTCATGCCGCGCTGTTCTTATCATGTTATGATACATAAATTTTTTCTTTTATATTATTCAATGTGGATGTACGTTAATGTACTCCGTTTTTTTTTGTTCACTGGATGTATCGTAATTTATTGAGAAAAATGATGTGGATTTGGATTGTCGGGTTGGTGCTTTATGCTTCCTGCTACTTTTACGTAGACTTCAGCCTTATTGGAAGCATTATTACCTAAGGTATTAATTATTAGTATTGTATGCATCAGAGACCGGGTTTTAGAGCATCTCTAAGGACCTAAAGATTGACTCTGACTGTTACTAGCGTCGGATTTCTTAAAAATCAGCAATATTTGAAGTATCCAAGGCAGAAATAATCAGCCAGCCCCCAGAATCAAATGTTCTTAAAAACAGTAACTGCGCCTTGTTCTTTAACAGCCTGACAATCATTTTTCTCGTTAAACTCACTTCTTCAATCATCAATGAACATCTTCAATATCTTTTTTTTCTTCTGCTTCTTACAGATGACAATAAATGCAAAAGTTCAATTGATTGAACCGCGACGCACGAAAAAATTTGAAAAATGAAAAATAAACTTTTTTGACTACAATTCTTGCTGTTTTTTTGAAAGAAAGTGAAGGAAGATTTGTATTTTTATGATTATTGCTTTTTGTTGTCTTTGCTTACTTTTTTGTTTTATTGCAAAGTAGACCTTTATGACTGTTTTATGGAGAGAAAACATTTCTGATATTAAAACTCTTTTGATGATATTTTTTAAACATTATTTTTGTGTTTGCGAAATTTTAAACAAAATAAATTTTGCTTGAAAAACCAAAAAATATTTTAATTTTTGTTTATTTCTTTTTAATTTTATTTTGAAAAAATTAATTTATTCAAATTGATATTCCTTCAAAATTTTATTTCAAACTTAGTAATTCTAGACTTTGTAATATAAGCTAATTTAAATTATTTTCTATAAAAATTCCCACAAATCCTTAATAATTCACATTTCTAATATAGCATATTTTAATTGATTTTTATCATATTCATGGTTATTTTAATCCAAAAAACAATCAAAAAACAAAAATAATAAATTGAAAAGTTTTTTGTCAATTAAAATTTTAATATTTCTGTTCATGGAAAGCTTTAAATATTTCAGATCAAAATGAATTTTTAATAAATATTCTGCGGTAATTTAAATAAATGAAGATGAAAAGCTTTTTTGCGTGATTTCTGAGAATTTTTATCTATGTTTATAGTAGAAATTACCATAATTTCGGTGGCTAATTATGAAAACTTTCTATTTTAGCTCATTGAATAAATTTTTGTTTTAATTGAAAAGGGTTTGAAAAATTCATTAAAATTATAAATTGCGTTATTTTTAAAAATCTAAAGTTTTTTTGTGAGTTTGAAATTTTATTTGGAATTTAAATTAGTAAATTTTCAATTTAGATTTATTTAACCGATCTGTTTTAAAATTTCATCATTTTGGTCTAACCTCACGTGAATGCACAATATAAACTGTATGCGGAAACTTCATAAACCATAAAAAGGTGCCTCTTTATGACATTTTGATTTGAATTATGATCAAATATAAATTATTTCGTGAATGTGTCTTAACTATCATAAATAAGTTTGTTACAAGTTATGAGTCTTGTTGTGTGTTTGGTTGAATGAATCAAGTTAATGTATTTTAGGTTAGCTTTTGTCTGAGTGTCTGTGAATCCTCGGTTGTAGCTTAAGCTGGTTTTTAGAAAACCTTTTCTAGTTGTTTCAAAAATAGGAATTCCATTATAGAGAGGGTAGGGTAGAGGGGGGGGAGGGGTTGAGTTAATTTTTTTAAGGATTATTTCATGATAAAAATTCCAATAAAATAAAATTGGAATATAAATGCGCTTTAAAACTCCAAAATTTGTCTCTCTTGCTCGTCCCCATAAACTCAATATTCCGCAACATTTCCATATCATCTGCATGTTTTGAGCAGCCTATCAAATTATTTTTCAATATAATAGTAACTTTAATGACAGCATAATGTGTATCATAAATAATGTAATGGAATAATTTTTCTTTCATGAATGATTTTTATCGTAAAATAAAATAAAAAATAAAATAATAATGATGATGGGAATAATGATATGTAAGCGATGTAAAAAAATATTAAGAAGCGCAGCAGATTGAGGCTTATTTTTTTAATGTTTTCATGTTTGAATGAAGATGGGTGGGTTAAGTTGTGTAAAGTCGCGAAAATAAACTTAATGAGAGAAGGAGGGTTAATGCTGTTTGATAAAAAACCAACTAGTCTACAAATTGTGAAAAACATATTTATTTATTGTGCAAAGTGTGGTTTGATTGTTCTTTACTTCTAAACACTCAGATAAAAACAGTAGTTCCAAATGACACTAGCAAGCACATTTATCAATATTGTGCGTATTTTTGCTTGTCATTTGCTTTCAATTTTCAAGGTTATGTGTTGTTATCAATGATATTTGTTATCAGTTAGCCCTTTTTTAATGTAAAAGATAATGGTGATATTCCTACGAAACACGTGTTGATTAGCCACATTTTATAATTTTAAAAAAATAAATGCAAGACGAGTAAACATATTAAAATTTGGTTCACAATTTGAAGATCAAGCTTTAATGAAGCAATAAACCTATTGAAAGAGTGGATGATCTTTATATAAATTGATCAAAATGAACGAAAACTATGTAATAATAAAAATTTTGGAAAATATAAAAATAATTGAAATTCTTGAAATTCTTTAAATTCTTGAAATTTTTGAAATTCTCGAAATTCTTGAAATTCTTGAAATTCTTGAAATTCTTATAATTCTTGAATTTTTTTGAAATTCTTGAAATTCTTGAAATTCTTGAAATTCGTGAAATTCTTGAAATTCTTGAAATTCTTGAAATTCTTGAAATTCTTGAAATTCTTATAATTCTTGAAATTCTTGAAATTCTTGAAATTCTTGAAATTCTTGAAATTCTTGAAATTCTTGAAATTCTTGAAATTCTTGAAATTCGTGAAATTCTTGAAATTCTTGAAATGATCGAAACCAAAATCTTAACCTTTCCTTGTTTCAGTTGTTAATCTTCATTGATTTTAAAGTGTTTTAGAATCCGTACATATCGCAAACACATTCGTCTTTTATAGTTGAATTATTCGAGTTTAGTTTATTATTAGCCCTTAAACTAATCTAAAGTGCTTCCATTTTTCAGTTTATTAAATGTAATCTGTAATAAAAGTTTTTCTAATCAAATTCTTACTTGTTACGCAATAAAATATGAACGCGTGTGAACTTAAGTGAATTAATTCAGTTCTTATTATCAATTTAATTGCAAAATAACTCAAATTTGCATCATGGCGAACAAAATGTTAAATATAAAAATTGAATTGCCTGATCAAAATCTTGACAACGATGATAAAGTCATCCTTATAAGTTGTCATCCATCAATTGATATCTTATCAGACAATATCTTTAAATTAAATAAGGACTTTGTAATTCAAGTTGCAAAAGACAGTGAAATCGACAGGAAACATATGATGGATATATGTAAAGTTCTTGAATTTACTAATGAATGGAATATCATTGAAGTTATAGCTAAACTATCAGATATAAAACCTATCAACTTTCCAAACTTATTCATATTCATCATAAAATCAGAGAATGTTAATTCTACTGAATTGAATGAACTCAAGGAAAGTTTGATAAAATTTTGTCAGGATCGACCGATGATTTTACAGCTGAGAAATGAAAATTCAACAACATTTTATTATAAAGAAGATTCTACCGAAGAAGTTATATTAATTGATTCAACTGCGGCATTCGAAGACATAAAAGACTTTTCAACCTTCTTGTTATCATTTTTAAGCAAAAAGTTTGATAGTTTTGAAGAAAAACTGATTGACAGGCTACCAAGTGTTAAAAATTCATCATTAATTTTAAGATTCTTAAGAACATTGAAATTAAGTAACAAATTTCTAGGAGAACTGATCCTTGAAGTCACAAAAAACGGTAAAAAAGAGAATTTCTTAGCTGTACTGGATGTTCCATTTGGAGATGATGGAAGGAAACTTAACTATGAAGCCCAAAATATATTGTCAAATGTATTTGAAGAGAATCAATTCATAACGAAAGATCCAAGTACATTCAATCGTATTCCATCAGAGGAAGAGAAAGTAAATACAAATGTTCTACATCCAGGGCTTAGCATTGATTCATCTAAAAGAGTGTCTGCGAATCTTCGAGATTTCCCGAAAAAAGTATCAACTCCAATACCTAGCAAGCAGTTAAATCCATCAGTTCTTCATGCAGCTATAGAGAATAAAAATGAACTTATTATCGATTATTTAATAACTTATTGGTCTCATCTGATTCGAGAGCTTCCGTTCAACCATCAAGTTGATATTTCCACTATCGCATTTAAAACAAGTCAACTTAACATTTTATGTGATTTGCTGGAAATTTCAGACTTTCCATTTCCTAAAGATTTCAAAGAGGGCGACGAACTCTGTGACGAAAGGCTTCAACAGATTACAAAAACCAGAATGCAGCTAATGAGTGCCATTCAGGAATCAAATCTTAATCAAATTGATAATTTTATTGCCAATAATCTAAATCTAAAAGTCATCTACACTCCAAATAATAAGTCTGTTATGCAACAAGCCGTTGATTTCAAAAACTGCAGTGTTTATTTTCATCTAAAATCTTTTGGATATAAAGCAACAGAGTTTAAAAATCTAGAAGATGTTCTTTTTGAGAATGATTTGAAAGAAGCAAATGAACAAAAATTGCAGCAAAGACGCTTTAATGTTCAAAATGCACTTCAGACTGACTTAAAATCCATTAACACATTGCGCAACAAGTCGTGTATCCATAACAGGAAGATTAATAAGGAACTGGAAATAGAATATCATACAAAGATTAAAGAATGGTTTAAAGATATTAAAAAAGTCGAGGGCGGTCCTGATTTTCTAGATGTTGCAGCTTCATGTGATTATTTGAAGATAATTTTTGACTTTGAGAGTAGCACGGTAAGTAAAAAGCTGCAATAAAATCTCTGCTGACGGTTTCTATGTCTAACATGAAGAATATCTGAGTGTGATAAGAGATCCTTGAAGATTTGCGACAGGCTTGGAAACAAGGTGGTATTTAGCGGTATTTCATATGAAGCGGTGGTACCGCCCAGTTTCCGAGCCTGGATTTTGCCTGCATCTTCTATATAAATCCTAATTTCAACCTTTTTATTCAAATTCTAGGTCGAAAATGCAAGCTTATCAGGACCATCATCATTAGGAGTTTTGTATTCATTAAGAAAATTGATATTTATTGGTGCTAAACAGTTAGACAAATACCGTGAACAGCAAATTAAAGGAGTTTTAGCTCACGAGTTGTGTCATTATGTTATGAAACTAGTTTATCAGAATCAAGAGAAACCTTATTTTGCCGATAGAACTGATATCATGGAAATATTTGAGAACATAGTAAAACAACTTAATAAGTGGACAGACTTAAAGCAAGAGATTATCGAAGACGACGAATGCAATGAAATAATTTCGAGTGTTTTTCGACTTTATGACAAGGAAGATCATCATGTGGAGCTGATTGTAAGAGTTTTGCAGATTTTGGTTGAATTCGATTATAGCGAGGAGTATTGTGCCTATCTTCAGAATAAATATAAAATATTATTTGATTTTTGGAATGACTATGTCATGCCTGACGTGCGGGAATATCTTCAAAAAAATAAAGATGTAATTAAGATGAACGAAAGTTTTGGAATTTTAGATGACATAAATGACGAGAATTATCAGCTCAAAGGTCAAGATAAAGTCAAAGGTATTGATGAACACAAATTGCTGATTATAACTACAAATGTTCGTAAACTATTGCTAGTGGACATCTACAAATATCTTCAAGATAAATTCGGAGTTTTCATGGACTCAATGTATTTATTTGTTAATCCCAAAAAACTTAATAAGAAGCCAGTTATGAATGATTTTAGTCGCATCAGTTTTGAAAATAAGAACTTGAATTTTATTATTGATTGTACGAAAGGATTAAGAAAAGACTTAGGACAATTATTTGTGAGGAAGGACTTTAATTGCTTGTTTATTGTACCAAATAATGATCAGATTGAAGAACTGCTGAATATAATCGATGAAAATAAAATGGAAGATCCAACAATAATTGAAATATCTTACGACTGGACTGACTTAGCACGGGAAAGTCAACAGCAGTTACTAAACACAGAAGTAATATTTCAAAATATTATGAAAACGACATTCATGGATTTATTAAGCAAGGACATCATAACAGAAGTAGACAAAACTCAAGTGGAAAAGATGATTAACGACTTCAATGATGTGACTGATGATCAGCTTTTAGACATGCTTGTAAACAAATCAAATATTACAATTAATTCAACTTTTGAATATGAAAATTTTGAAAACAATTTTGATCTCCTTTTTGAACTTAGGGAGTATGTCAAAAAAGTAAAGAATGCTGGTTCCAATAAAATGCTTACAATGCTTAAGGAAAATGTCGTCGTTGAGAGTTTTGACGGAGGGCCTTTGTCAATTCCTGAGACGAGACAAAAAACAAAGATTAATGAAACGATATCACAAGAAGAGCTACTTGACGATGTCAAAAATAAGCCTTATGTTCTCATATCAGATATTGCTGGAACTGGAAAAAGCTGGGCAATGAAAGATTTCGCGAAGGTACTAAGCAGGAAGTATTCAAGAAAATGGGTGACTTATGTGGATTTAAAACAATTTATTGAGAGTTTTAAGTCAGAAAAATCAGAACCGGACTTTGCATCATTCGTCGCTGACAAAATGTTAAAACCCAAAATGGAGTTCGAAAGGAAACTTTTCAAAAAATTCTATAAAAATGGTAAAACGATTGTTCTAATGGATGGATTTGATGAGATAGCTCCAAATTGTGCTGAATACGTGTCAAAATTGATAAAGTCATTCAAGTATAATGGTGGAAATCAGCTGTGGATAGCTACAAGAGACTACTTTGAAGTTGATTTGCAAACAAGTCTTCAACTTGATGTTGCTTATAAACTTGGAACATTTACAAAAGAAAACGGAATTAATTTGATTGTAGCGAATTGGATATTGAAGGATCTAAAGCATAAGAATGTCCATAAAAATATTGACTTGAAGCAGTACATCAGAAGTCATGGAAATTACAAAAACTATTGTCAAAAAGCAATGATTATAGTCAATAAAGTTGGAATGACCAAAAATCGTACGGTTGGATTACCACAGCTGTTTCATATGATCGCTCATGGATTAAAAGATGACTTAGACAGCAAAGATGACTTGACTGGATCTGAAATTTACAAAAAATTTGCATCTAGCGTCTTTAAAAGATGGTCAGATGAAAAAGGTCAAATTAGGAAAGATGCAAGCAGTCAAGATAAAGATTTGGATTTTTACAAATTTCATCATTATTCAGCTGTTGCTAGTTTGTTTCCCGAAATGGCTAAAATACTATTTCCTTACTTCGATGAAAAAGAATGGCCTGATGCAGAAATCATCGCCGGTGGCTTAATGAGCAAAAGAGGTGGAAAATTCTATTTTTTGCATGAAACTTTTCGAGAATATTTTTTCACTGTTGCTATCTCGAAAGCTATGAAGAATCTTAAGATTGTCAGAAAGTCTATCATTGCGAGACTATTTGGATGGAAGTATCAAGATGATTTGATTCTTGAGCTATTTATTCAGATTCTTACAGTTGAAAAATTTGGAGTAATTCGGATGTTCCTGAATGATTCTATCAAAGGGAGCTTAAATAAATCACAATCTGAACTTCAAGTGATTTGCCATAAATTGTATGAAATGGAGAATTTTGAAGAGTTTTTCATTAAGCACCTGGAACATTTAGCTGATTTTATTATCGCAGTTTTTAAAAATGGCAATTATGAAATGATTAAAAACATTTTAAAAGCTAGTGCCTGGAATATTATTACAAAAACTGAAGATTCCAACATGTTTATAAAATTCCAAGACTTTTTGTTCGATTTTCTAAAAGTCAACGATTTGAAAACTTTTATCATAGATCAAGAAATCTTTCAAGCCATCATCAGATCCTGCCATAGCGTTAAAGTTTTTGAAGACTTTCTTGTAAAAACTGAATCCAAGATTGATCGAGCATTTATCAGAAAAGGTCTTCAAATGTACAGCAAAAACGACTGGAATGGAAACATTTTCTACTTCCTTTGTGAGTCTTCTGGCTTAAATATATACACAGTACAGAAGTTTCTTGAAATCTTGCAGCGATTCCTCACAACTGATGAAATATTCAAGCTTGTCGAAAAGTGTAATAAATATGGCCAAAATGTCTTTCAATTTTGCGTACGATCGAATGATAAGGAATACTTTGATATGCTGTGGAATGAAATCAAGAAGATATTTCCATTTCAAAGTTTTAAGCAGCTCATCCTTCAACGAGATTCCTTGTTTTGTGAAAATATATCACATAGTGTGATTCTACGAAAAGAAACTGAAATTCACGATAGTTTGTGGCTGCTTTTGCTGAAAGTTTTCAATGATTCCGAATTAAAGACATTTATTCTTCAAATTGGTCAATTTGAGAACAATTTTGTCTATAAATTGATAGAATTAAATGAGAATCCTGATGTTATTGAGCTAACATTTAAAATGTTCAAAATGATATTCGTTGATCTTAATGACTTACTAGCTTCAAAGAGTTTTCTAAAAATGAACTTGCTTCATGCTACTGCAGCGAATCGTAAAAGCATCGAAATCCATAAATTTTTGTGGAAAGTATTTCGAGAAACTTGCGATTCTAATCAAGAATATTTAGAGATTCTTAAACAAACTGACAGATTTGGATATAATGTTCTTCATCATGCTGTTGAAAATTCATCAAATGAAGTTTTTGAGTTTATGATGGATGAATTTAAAGAAATTGGATCAACTGATGACATCAGATTCATATTAAGCAACTTAGGACAACATCGTCGTAATGTCTTACAATCTGCTGTAAAATCAAATAAATGCCCAAAACTTCATGCAAATTTATGGAAAACTTTACGATTTTATTTTAATGATGACGAAATATTGAACCTTATTAATCATGTCAACAAGAAGGAAGAGAATTTACTGATTCTTGCTGTTGAAAACAATACAAAAGAAATTATGGACCAGACATGGATTGAGATTAAAGGAAGTTTTAAGAGCAAAGATCAAATGATTGAATATTTAGAAATGAAGAAATGGAAGGAAAGTAAGCACATTAATCGACATTTTGACAATTGGAGGTGTAAGAATGAAATACATGAGTGGGTCAAGAGTTTAGTCAATTGTTAAAAATGTTTATGCAGTGAGTAATTTATTATACAAGCTCGAATAACACAAGTCGGTTAATTAAATAGAAATTGTTGAATCCTTCGAGCTTTATCTATCATATCTTGGTGCCGGATTTCCATTCGATTAACCGACTTGTGATATTTGGGATAGAGCTAAGGGATCGTTCACTTATGACGTCCAAAATTATCGGTCATTTTTCAAAAGAGAACAATGGATTTCCAGGAATTTCTATTGTTCTTTTCTTGCTGACCCCCCCCCCCCCTGGACGTCATAAGTGAACGGGCCCTAATATTTTTTTAAGAGAGTACTGAAGGTTCTCTCGACTAAGTTCTCAATTTTTTAATTTTGAAAATTTGATAATATTTTTTTATGCATTATTTTTGTGGCTATTGAACAGTCAGGAATCATAAAAAATTAAATAAAATATTTTTAAAAGTTAAATAATGTCAAAAAGTATTTTGTAAGAAGTTTAATAAGTTTTAAAATTTAATAAAATTATTTAAACTTAGAAACAGTATTTTAAATTTATTTCAATTAATTTTCAGCTTAATAATCAGCATTTTAATCATCATTTATGACTTATCAGCATCGTTTGACATTGAATGTGAATTTAAAACTGATAATTATTACAAATTTGGTGAGCCATATCAGTGCAAGGCAGGAACTACTCGTAACATAACTACATACGAAGAAGCACTTATTACATCAATATCTGGAACTCACATAGACTTAAAGACCAATGACGACGTGACTGGCTTTTATTCAAACTACAAAATCATTCAATATTTTCCACGAGATTTGGAAAAATTCTTTAAAAACCTTGAATTAATTTACATCGAATTTGCTGGATTAAATGAGATCCATCAAGCTAACTTAAAGCCATTCCAAAAGCTGATTTATTTATCATTAAGCTACAACTCAATTGAGGTTCTCGAGTCAGGTGTTTTTGATGCAAATCCAAATCTCGAAATCCTTTCATTCGTAGCCAATGACCTCGTGCATATTGAACCTGATGTTTTTGACAATTTACCAAAATTGAGGTGCTTCTGGTTTGGTCGGACTTGTGTTGATAAGTTTGTGAACTCTAGAGATGAAGTTATTGAAGCTATTGATGTTGCAAGGAATCAATGTGTAAGTGCTGACTATACATTCATGAATGAAAGACTTGCAAAGCTTGAAACTGAGTCAAAATTTGTAAATTCTGAAGAATTTTCAGAAAATTTTGAAAAATTTGAAAAAAGTTTTATAAAATCGAGATTTTATAATTTTACAACTCTGAGGAATCGATTTGAAGGATTGAGGAACTACACAGTTGATTTAAGTTCCAAAACTGGATGTAGAAAAAGCTCGAGTTTAAAATCTTTAATGACTTACGACTTTGAAGCTACAAACTCAACAATTGATATGAAAATTTTACATTTGAGTGAAAATATGAAGGATTTAGTGTCTGAAGGTTTAGGATTGAATGTAAAATTGACAAAGCTTAATGGACATTTCGCAAAATTTGAATCCAAAATGTCTAAAAAGCTTAGTAAAATTGACAAAGAAGTTGAAACTACAAGAAGCAGAATCGATGCAAAACTGAAGAAAATTGAGAATAATTTGCTGGATAAAATCAGAGACATTTTGGAGGAAAAATTGAGAAAAATCTTTGATGAGAAGTTGGAAAGTCTTTTGAATGCTAAGTTGCAGAATTAATGTCGGTTTGAGATTTAAAAAAAATTAATATAATAAAATGTTATAGCACTAGCTAATGTAGGGATTATATTCCATAATCAAAACCCAATTTTTAATTCACAATCACAAATTAATTAATTTTTTTATTCCTCAATTTCAATACTTTTCCAATAATTTGATAGCATCCTCAAGTGACATCGCACCATCAGTCGACAACTCATTTTGCATAGCCTTCAATCGCTCGACAATTTCAGCTTTCGTACATTTTACATCCACAGCCATTTTCTCCAATGATAAGACCTTTCCTTCGTCAGCAAGTACTTCAGGGCAGTTGAGATACTCGTCATAAGACAGCGACATCGTGTCATCTGCTGTTTTTATAGTATCAAGAAACGTTTGATTCTTTGTCGTCACATCCTCTTCATCCTCAACAGCATAACGTGATATTAACAATTTTCTCATGAATTTTATTGCTCCATCAAGATCTGTCGTATCGCCAGCGTCTTTTGTGTCAATCGATTCCAAAAATCTCAATGCCCATAAAATGTCTGAATTATTCAAAGTCGACAATTCATTTCCGTTGTCAGCAAATAAATGCCATATGACAGCGAGTGTATGATCCAATAAAATTGGATATGTTGGACTTTTTACTTCGTATGTATCCAACTGCCAATTCATAATTGATTCAGTCATGTTTGATGGAAGTGAAAAGTTGTAGACTTGTGGATTGTAATCTTCCATTTCTTTTTTGGAGGGACAAGCGTGGGTCTGAATTGAAAATTTGATTGATTCGATGAAAATTGTGAAATGAAAAGTTTCTTCTGATGAGACAAACAATAATGGTTGCTGGAACTCTAAAAATAAGATTTTTGTTTGCTGATTCTTTGAATTTTTTTGTTTAATGCTTGATATGAGCAGCTGACACATGAAGTTAAGAATCAAGAATGTCTTAAAATGAAATTTGAATTTAAATTGAGTTTAGTAAAGGATTGAAAGAGAATCAAGGGATGAGTACTTATAAGTGAAGCTATAAGATGATTTTGGGTGATTTTTGGTACCGACTTTAATCTTTTTTGAGCAATAATGAGCTTGATTGAGCAAAACCGAGATAGCTTAAGCCAAATCAAACTAGATTGAGCCAAAACAAACTATATTGAGCCAAACCGAGTTTGATTGACCCAAACCAAGCTAGATTAAACATCAACTGAGCAATTTAAACCTCCAAACATGTGAAAATCACGTAATTTAACGAACAATGACAAGTTCCGATCCCTATGCACCCCATACATCCAACAATAAATGTAAAATTCATTCATGTGAATTGAATAATCTTAATTTGCTCATGTCTCAAATTTCTTTTTCATGAGACTGTAAAAGCAGCAACAACAAAGTCAAAGTCAATTCTATTTTGTCTTGTATAACTTTTCCGTCGCTCCTTTTCTTCTTGCTTCCTTATTCTATTCCTCATTCAATTTCTTCTATCGTCTTTCCTGTGTGCTGTTCATATGTTCTGCAGTTATAGCAGCTATTTATTGTGAGATGAGGATTTAGTTTGAGGTTTGGGGGTTCTAGGATAGCTAGAAACTGTAAACAGCAGTATAATCTCGAATTTGTGCCCAATTGAGACCACATCGGTATGATAATTAATGGCGTATCCTAAAAGGGTAGCAGCAGAGGATCCCATTTAGTGTCCTGCAAAAAAACTAGAGTTCAAGGCTTCGAATCCAAAATAAAGTCGCTTAATCCAAACTACCATGAATCCAACATCTCATCTATAATTCACTTGGGAAGAATAAAACAGCAGAAGGAGCATCACAAAAAAATAGATAGCAAGATAGATAGATAGATAGAAAAAGAAATTACTGAGCGTCTCGTCTCGAAGACGACATTACTTCGCGAATTTTAATGAGTATCATATTATCATTTCATGTTCTTCTTCTTGTGCTATCTATTTATTTTTTATTCCTCTATGCTTCATATTCATTTTTTTCCTCTATTCGAATATTCTTGGATTATCATTACGTTCCTTTACAAGACATTCGCTATGTCTCACAACTTGTTTCATTCTCGAAATTCGTTACATCCTGTCGAAAAAAAAAGAAGACAACGACACACATCGAGAGCGATAGATGTGATGGCGTTGTAGTAAGAAAAATAATAAGAACTAATAAGCATAAGAAGAAGCGATGGCATTCACATTATTATTACATCATTATTCCGGGGTTGTACGATGAAAGTTTTTTGGCGACTTGAAAATTGTTGAAACATGTTGATTAATGAATAAAAGCTTGCGGAACTTGTAGAATGAGATATTATATAGTGGGGATGTGGAGGAAGAAGAATTGCTTATTTTTTTCATATCCATCAGATATCGATAATGGTTTATGTTTAGTGTATGGTGATGTTTATGACTGTGACGAGGATAGAGGAAGTTTTTTCGAAATGGATGTTGCTGTATTGATGTTGTTGTATGGGGAACTATAAGTTCCGAGTAGTAGATGTAGATTGGGACATTCGACTCTTCGATCACTAGGCATTGAACCTAGTTTGTGCACTTCAAGGCTATCGTTTGGAATATATAAAAGCTATGATAGCTATAGTTCAACCAAGATACCGTTTTAACTTAAAACCAGCCTTTGAACTTTAAGTTTGTTGACTTATGACATCCAGTAGAGGAGAAAATCGAAGATAAGAGGCAATAGCTTGGTTTCAGGAGACAATAACAATATTATGAGACATCTTAATGAAACAACTCCTTATTAGCTTCTCAAAAATCGAAAGTAGACTCAAAATAATCCAAACTCTAACTTTACAGCTCGGTACAACCTATTCCTCCATAAAACTCTAAACAAAGTATCTTTCATCGACATGCAACGACATTATCATCATCAGAAAAAGTTCAATCACTTTATCATTCCTTCTTTATCTTTATTTTACACTAAAAAGCTTCATCTAATATGAACTGGTTAGTTATGTACAGTCAGGCATCATTTGACATTATCTATCTTTTCTTTTATTTCTCGTGTCATTTTACCATAAAGCTAAATTTATTTTCATTTTATGACGACATCTAAAGCATTTGACTCTTTCCATTATGGCAACATCTTAACTGGCACGTCCATCGACATTCGAGAATGAATTTGATAATGATTTTGATGGGAATTTACTCTTTAAAAATTCTTATTTTTTTTTCTCCCTTCGCTAAGCTGAATGCAAAGCCATAAGAGAGCCATTGAAATGAACCATCAGATATCAGATGAGCATCATAAAATCCACTTCTTTACTATCATCTTGCTTGTCTTCATTCTGCTTTGCATGGCAAAAAAAAAAATATAATAATATACATAAAAATGCTGTCATGGAGGAAAAAAAATATCGAGAAAAGGACGGGCTGGTGAGAGAGATGGAAATATCTTAAAAAAAATAAATTCATTGTCACATAAAAGTAATCAAGAAGTGGAAATAAGAAGAAAAGGAAAAAGAGTCGACGACAGTCAATAAAAAAATATAAAGAGCTAAAGAGTCAAAGGAGAAATGAGTGCAAGTTGAAAAGATTGCAGCATAATTGGTGGTTTAATTAAGCATTTATGCTGGCTTTTTTTGATCATTTTGAGCTTAAGTCGTCGCTTTAATGAAACTCGTTCTTAAGTCGTCGCTTTTTAATATAACTCGATCAAAAGTCGTCGCTTTTTAATATAATTTGATCTAAAGTCATTGCTTTAATGAAACTTTAATATCAAGACGTCGTTTTATGAGATAAATTTGACAATAAGTCGTTGCTTTATGAGATAAATTTGACCTTAAGTCATCGCTTTAATAAAACTGTAATCTTAAGTCGTCGCTTTAATGAAACTTTAATCTTAAGTCTTCGTTTTTTGAGATAAATTTGAAAATAAGTCGTTGCTTTATGAAATAAATTTGACCTTAAGTCATCGCTTCAATGAAACTGTAATATTAAGTCGTCGCTTTAATGAAACTTCATTCTTAAGTCGTCGTTTTATGAGATAAATTTGACAATAAGTCGTTGCTTTATGAGATAAATTTGACCTTAAGTCATCGCTTTAATGAAACTTTAATCTTAAGTCTTCGTATTTTGAGATAAATTTGAAAATAAGTCGTTGCTTTATGAGATAAATTTGACCTTAAGTAATCGCTTTAATGAAACTTTATTCTTAAGTCGTCGCTTTATGAGATAAATTTGACAATAAGTCGTTGCTTTATGAGATAAATTTGACCTTAAGTCATCGCTTTAATGAAACTGTAATCTTAAGTCGTCTCTTTAATGAAACTTTATTCTTAAGTCGTCGCTTTATGAGACAAATTTGACTTTGAGTCATCGCTTTAATAAAACATCAGCGCCACCCTTTAATACCAGTTTGAAGTCGTCCCTGCATACCTAATCCGACACTTTGGACAAATCACACCAACCAATGCCTTTACATCTAGCAAATATCATTGAAAAAGATTAAAGGAAATGCATAAAAGAAAGAAAAATACTTTTTTTTTTAAATAATTGCTGTTGCAAGCATAAATGAGATCGTTTTATCTTCTGCGTCACGGAGAGACACAAACACTAGAAACAGTTAAAAATTGTTAAAATAGTCTCTTTGGGTGCGATGCTTCCTCTCATCTCAATCTAGCTGTAATCAACATAAAATGTGAAATCTCATTGAACGATTAAAGTAAAGTATTGACATCGCGGACGAAGAGAAAGAGTTTGAAACTCGCGACTTAGAGATTTAATCTGTAGAAATAAATTTTTAAATTTCATCGCTTTCCAGAACTGGAGACTTTAAAACTCTTTATTATATGACTGCCATTTTGATAGCTTTGATCTGAGATTTCTTAAAGACACTTCATGCATGCATGAATGTGAATTGGGGATTGAGATGACTTTTGAGACTTTCTCAGAATTAATATTTTGTGTTGCTGGAAATTGTGACGATGAAGGCAAAGTTTATACTAGAAAATATTAAACTTTTGAGTTTAAATGCTTTAAGAAATGAGATTGGGTCGTCAAATTCTGGGATTGTCTTGGAGTTCAAGGATTTCTGCTAATCTAGAAGTTTATGGGAATGGGGGAACAAACAAAATTTCATCGTGTCTAGGTTAGGGTACCCAAGATATTTCTAGAAGCCAGTCCCTACTTAGTGCCGTGACCATTTTTTGGTATTTCTAACATGCACCATTGCTCCACCTATGTCCCTACTAGACACCAATATGTCCAAACTCTTATAAACACTTCTTTAATTTAGCTCCTTAAAAAATGCATTTATTTTGTCAATAAAAATCTTAAAAAATCTTAAAATCTCCTTCCAAATCTACTGACATGTGGTGATCTAGGAATTTCTGGTCCAAAAGGCACACTTTCAACCAAAGCAGCCGTACATGGTGGAATAAGATTTACTGGTTCATCGCAAAAGCCTCCAGTTGGATTAAAATGAAGACCATTAGGACATACTTCACTAGATTGTACACCGTTATCGCAGAAGAAAAATTTGTCACAAGCTGATTCATCATTAAAGAAGCCATCTTTGCCTACTTCACAGCCTGAAGAGACACTGTCAGATGAGCCTTAAAAAAATTGATTAAATATTTAAAATTCTTTCAATTTTCATGATCAACTTTACATGGAGCGATTGATGAATGTGTGCATATTCCGTAGTTACGATTAAATACTGATGGTGCAGCACATTCGAAAATTGTAGTGCCTACTGTTGGTCCATCACAAGATTTGAATTTTGTGCAGGTGGTATCAGCAGCGTCAGCAACCTAATAAAATTTATAATTTAAAATGGAGTTATAGAGGCACATAAAGCACTGTAGCTTGACATCCAGTCTTGCTCTCTAATCTTTAATTCTTACCCTTATGATTGTTCCAGCTGGATTGAATTCACATGCAGCAGTGCAAACAAAAGCAGCTTCACATGAAGCTGTTGCAGCATTGAAATTGCCAACTGTACATTTTCCTTGATGAACGGATTTTAAATCGGTGCCCTCAAAATGACAGTATAAATAAGCAGTACAGTCTGATGGATCATCGGCAAATTTAAAAGTCAATCCTGATGGAGCTACGGCATTTTGGCATAAGTCTTGACTTGCGAACGCACAGGAGATGAGCGTGAGAATTAAAAAACCTACAATTTAATATGTTTTTGATTATTTTCTTTTCAACAAAATAAAAAAAATTTCTTACCTTTCATTTTTGTTTGCTGATTTTTTTACAACTAGTTCTGTAAGTTTTGATTCTCTTGTATTTATAGTTCCAAAATCTTATCAGCAAATGCCAACCTTAGGAAAACGTCCTAAATACGAAAATTTTTTTTGTCGGTTTACGATAACTTGTAAAATATGTTTCTAGCGCATCTTGTATTTGAGAATTTTATTTTCATCATATCTATCCTGAGTCTGGATGTCTACGCTATCTGTTTTATTCTAAATACTCTTGCTTGCCAATGCGAGTCTTAAACCTCTGTAGTCGATTTGGTAGGCAACAGACTAGATATAATAAAGATTCCTTTGTCATGACGTGAGTTCAATTCCCACCAAATGGGAAATTTCAAAAAATGCGCTCTGCTGATGTCAACACACGAACAACAGAAATGCGCTCATGTAGATTTTGAAGTGACTTTTACACTTGTCATCATTTCCTTCCGAAGTTTCCGGTCAGGTGTAATTGTTGAACTAGTGTCAAACTTTCTTATAATGTTAACTTGACAAATATAATATAATAGAAGATTGCTAATTCATCATTGACTTCTGAATGAAAAATTGGGACATGGCATCAATTTTAAGGAAGGAAATTGCTAACAAGTACTTATCAAAGTTATAAAATCAATCAAATTATGAACCAAAAAACTATCATGTTCCACGTGTGAGTTCTTCTGTTTGATAAGAGTTAAAGTTTCAATTGCCAGTCTGTGATTGTCATTAGAATTAAGAGCATTACTTTTCTTTAGGCTGAAACATTTTTGGACTAAGTTAGAGTGAAAATTGAAAAACTTGCAAAAAATACTAAAATATTGTGAAAAGCTGCATTCTAAAGTTTATAAGAATTAAGAATAAAAGGGATGTTAAAATTCATTTATGAAAATGGGGACGTTTGCTAATTACGAAACACTTTTATGGGAGAGGGCGTTATAAGATTATTTTGTGACAGTCAGGCGCGTGGTCAGGAGGGAGATTTGGTATATTTTATGAAAAACTCGATAAAATCCCCCCCTAAAAGTTTTCCATACAAAAAAAAATTTGTCCTCCCCTCTTCAAATTCTTGGCTACGCCCCTGGTGACAGTTCAAACAAAGGAAAGGACAGAAATGTTTTATGTTACAAAATAATTGAACGTGTCTACATAGTTATGTGATTTAGTAAGCATGTGGAATGTACTGGGTAAAGAATCAAGACGATCATTGATCTAAGGTTGAGGACACCTTGGCAACTAGAATTGTTCGTGGGACTAGAGCTCCGTCGAGCATGGTTTAAGCAACTCCTTTATGAACTGTAAAGTAAATTTTGGCAAAATTCTAATAGGTAATATGAGCGATATTCACTAAATACGTCCATCAAAAAATTGAATGATGGACTCAGTAAATAAATCAACAACAAAATTTAAATCCACAATCTTTATTTCATATAACTTTTTTAAAGCCTTGACATTCTTTGATAAGGTAATCTGATTCCACCAATAACATGTGGTGGCTTTGGAATCTCAAATCCATTATTGTGATTACCAACAGCTGGATCAGTGCATGGTGGATTGAGATTTCCAGGTTGATCACAGAAATTACCAGCTGTATTGAAATGGAAGTCATTTGGACACGTTTCTCTAGTTCCAACACCATTCTTGCAGAATATAAAGTTACCACAACCTGCCTCATCGTTAAAGAATCCATCACTTCCTACTTCGCAAAGTGCATCTTCAGGATTGCTACCTGAAATATAAATAGAAGTAAAAGCAGGTCACTTAAATGAGAGTTATGTATTACCCGCGCATGGAGCTATTGATGCGGATGTACAAACACCAAAATTGCGATTAAATACAGATGGTGCTGTGCATGTAATAACTGTAGGTTGAACAGTAGGGCCTTGACACGTTTGAAAGCTTCTGCATGTTGTGTCTTCTGGAACAGCAGCCTGGAAGGTTTTTAATTTTGCATGATTTGAAAACCCTGAACTTCCAAATGTATAATGACTAGACTCACCCTTAGGGTAACAGCTGGATCAACAAGCTGGCATCTTTCAGTGCACGGTAATGAAGCAGCGGGACTGCAACTACTTGTTGCAGCATTAAAATTAAAACCAGCTTCACAATTTCCTTGGTGAACTGAAACTAAAGCAGTTCCTCTGTAATTACACCATAAATAGGCTGTGCAAGATGAGGGATCGTCAGCAAATGTGAATCCTGTTGTGGGCTCTGGTGTAGCACTGCCACATAAATCTTGACTTTGTGCGTATATGCAGGAAAATAGCGACAGTAATAATAAGCCTAATTTAAGGCATTAAAGTTAGTCAAGTATTGTGAATAAAAATTATTTTGCGTCTTACCTTTCATTTTGGTCAACAGATAGTTTGTCAGAACACTTACTGAATTTATAGTTTGATGTTCCTCTCATATTTATAGTTTAGTAATCTTATCATTGTTTGTTTATAACAAACTTGTAAAAAAGTAATAGTTTATGTCCGCAGTTTCCTGTCATGTGAGATAAAGTTTCATAAAGTCCACTATCATTGTGATTTCTGGAATATTCTTTACAGACAAATTTTTTTTTATCTCAGTTGAGTTCTGGTTGGAACTAGTGTAGACTATTAGATGATAGTGTTCAGGGGTCGTTCATAAATGATGTTTATCAAAAGTTGAGGTTTTTAAACTATTTTAATACAAAATTCAGCTTTTGCTAGAAACTGTCGCACACCGAATGACTATTCTGAAAAACTCTCTCATTTATGAACGACCTCCCCCCCTTCCCTTTATCATAAACAACTTCAACTTATAGAATCTTAAATTCCACACAAATCAATTAAATAATTTAAAATAATCCCATCCAATTGCTTTATTCTTCAGCAACATCCAGTCATGAAGCAATCATGAACTTCAATCAATATGATATGTGTGTTTATATATTTACATAAATACGTGTATCCAAAAGGCGCATGTAAAACATGTCCGCTGATAAAAATCTTCCTCCTTTTTTAAAACCCATTTTTTTTATTATTATTTTCTTTCTCGTCTCTTGCGATGGCTTATGGATGTAACATGTATGTACACTTTACACAAAACCAGAAAATGAGATCGAAGATATAAACCGTAATATAAATGAAATTATTCAAATGAAATTTACGCGAAATGGATCGTTAGCATCTGAAATGTTGTTTACCGCACGATGTGCTTAGTGACATGAAAAGCCAGGAAGTCTATAATGCGAGGAAAGAAGCCATAATGACTCTGTTTACAACATCACACACGATTTCTTGATTAATCGAATTGTTTCACCTGGATTAATGTGCTCGCTTGCCTTCTTCTAGCCGTATATTGTGGCTTATATCTCCTCAGCTTTGGTGGATGGCTGGTAATTTATTTTAAAGCATTCATTTATCTCCTTTGTTTTGTGTTAAAATTTATTGGAATAGCTGTTGTTCAGGTGTAAAATGAGACGGAAAGGATTATTAAAAGTTATGAGACATGGTAGTTGGAGAGGAAGTCGAAACTTGGTTTTTTAGCATTAAATGGTCAATATTGACACTAAGTTTGGTAAGACTTTAAACTTAAAATTTAACAAAATCACATCTTTCGGTTGATGTCAGGTAGGAACGTCCGCTTGATCGCTTGCTTTACTTGACCTCTAAAAAGGGGTCTGTATCTAGACCCGGGCTACTACAGGCACCTGTGCACAGTTGAGAACATTACAATTGCTTGATAATTTGGAAGGTTTCATTAGAATTTGTATGGTTTTGTTTGAAAAACCTTATAAATTATCAAGGAATTGTAAGGGTCTCATCTGTGTACAGGTGCCTTTATCACACAATTGCTGCTTGGACATCAAAGCAAAATTCCATCTCCACTTAGATATCTAAAACACAAATCTTAACTCATGCTTTGAAGACACCTTTCATATCATATCCATAATCAATAAACGATGCTCAATGATGGCAATATTATGATTATAAAGAGCAGATATAAATATTAAATTAGATTTCCGAGTAACCAAGATGGAGAGACATGACATAGCAAGTAAAGATGAAGGGAAATAATAAAGCGTGTATATGAAATTAACATCTTTTTTTTATGTTGGACGCTTGGCACCTGCAATTACAGAATTTTCTCAAATAGAACCGGTAACGATCAGCAAATGGATAAGACGTTGAATATTGTAATTTACGATACCAAGGTACACATTTCTATTCATAATATACGCACTATAACCATCATCATCGTCCAATATCTCATCACATCTCTCACACACGGCATGGCACGGTAAATAATTATGAATGTTATTAACTTCGCTATGGTACACAACAGCGGCAAACAAGAGACCATCCAATAATATACACCAGAATAATATGTGGCTTACGAGAGCTGTTATTATTGTTATATTGGGTCCGTGAGGCAGTCAGTATTTTTTTTTTATTATATTCTTCTTCTGTAGATCATGCCTTTGTTTTTCTCTTCTTACATTTCGCTATCGCCTTTTGTTTCACCCAGCTGTTGCTGATGCATATAAATTACATATTATGATTGCCTCATGTGATGTGGATTTCTTTATATGCATACATTAATTTTTTTTATATATATATATTCTTCTTCATTATTCTCTTCTGCTCGTATGCTTCTAATCAACCTTTCCACATCTCAAAATAAAAAAAAAGTAATGCTGAAAACGGAATCACAAACATAATTCTCTCGTCTTTAATCATTGGCCATTTTGCGCAGTGTTACTGTAAATAATATAACTATGGAGAAGTTTAGGAGAGATTTGGATTCGATGAGGAGGTTGGGGAGCATTTTCGTGGAGGTGGGTGTTCTTGTGAGTGATTTCGGACTATTTGGTGGACTATAAACATTGAATTTACCTTAAAGGCTAAGAATTGTAGAAATGTAAGGTCAGAGTTGAACGTCAATGGATCTACTAGTATTTGGCAGAATTTATGGATATATAAGGTCAATTCAAATTCAAATAGTCCGACTTTAGTCAACTAGGACGTAGTCAATGATAATTCGAGAGCAGGATCTAATCTCCATCGAGAAAGCTATTGATTAAATTGAATTTTTGACTAACGTTATTTATGAACGTCTCCAGCAATTCAATGGAGTATCCTTCATCTAAGATAATCAAGCTAAGCTTTGGATGTATTACAAATCTTACAAGTAAGTTTTGACCCTATGAAACCGTAAAGACCCTAAGAAACATAATTTCACTCCCTTTCAATAAAGCTAGTTCTTTTAAAAATTCTGAGTCCATAGAGCCCATGATTCCCATCAATAAATAAACCAAGGAAATAAATATCTCCCAACCAGGCGCGTAGCCAGGAGGGTAATGTCCCCATCGTAAGCGTTTTAGGCCGTGCTCTTGCTGTGGTTCAAAATGTTTAAGGGGAGGACAAGACCCTCCTAGCTACGCTCTTGGTCCCAACATAACCTCTTTAATCCCTCATTTTTATAAAATGCATGCTAACAAAATGAAAATTATGTTACTGTTGTTATTACATTTCTTTTATTTTATTTTACTTCTTATTATACAGAATTATTTATGATGCAAACGTTTGCAATCACTTTTTGCTAATCAATGCTCTCGAGCATTTCCCGGAAAGATTCGGTTTTTATGTGAATGATTTGCGATAATTTACAAGTAGCTGACAACAAATGTTGAGTGTGTAGATTTTGCTTCGGGGAAGTCTTTGGATGGTTGTTATTGGAAACAACGTGTGATGCAGGGTTGTTAAGTTACATGCTTCTTATTGGTACTCTGATAAGAATTTGGTTCAAAGTTGAGAATTGTCAAACTGAATCTATATAAGTTAGGAGGAAGATGTAAGATTTTTGATGTAATGCATAGGTTCAATTTCTAAAAATCCTAATTGGCATCATCATAGTCCATCCCATCCTTATAAATTTTTAATAATACGCAATAGTTTTAAAAACATTATAAAATCATCCATAAAAGTCAAAAGAGAGGAAAATTCTTTTCGAAAAAAATAAGAAAACTATAAATTTTCAATTTGTCTGTCAGCCAGATGTGACACGACAAGCTTATTTGGATAGCAATGCGATGCTCTCTCATCTCCTTTAATTTTATGTCATGAAAATTTTTCATCATGTCAAAGTTATTTTTATTCATTTTATTCTATAGAAATTAAAAATGAAGATGAAAAGTTTTTGTTGACCTGATCTTAAGACTGTCACTCAATTCTTGTAAATTATTTAATTTCTTCTTTCTAGAGATTTTGGGAAACCTTAAAAGGCTCATTCGACATACTTTTAGTTTACTTTTAAGCAAAAGTATTGGGGTCTACTTTTTAAGCGTTACTAAGGAGTACTTGGGTGTAGTATTGATGTCTATGGCGCAGAATGTGCCTTTTTTGCTAGGTATACAAGGATATAATAGAATCTGGATGACTTACTTGCGGCATCTTGCGCACACGAATTGTGACTAGGTACATTGCAGGGAGCATCAGGTCTTATGACGTACTCGTGTCTTTCCAATGTCCAGAACCCACTTTAAACTGTGGGTCTAAAGGGTAAGGTACAATAGATTCTTTACAAATTTAATCGCAGTGCCTCCAGCTGAAAGGCTAGGCCCTTCAAACATTATTATTCTTACTATTATTAAGTTTATAAAATGGTAATATAACTAAAGTGTGGAGTAATGATTCCTTGAGAATGCCCTTTGAATGTGTAGTTGTCATAATATTATTAATGCGATCTAAATTGATACAAATTTTGGTCTTAGGTTTAAATTCTACAACTTATATACGCATTTTAACAATGTTCCTATCATAGAATATCGGAGTATATCCAAAAGTTTTTCAAATATTACTAAAATCAAAGGTTCAAATCCTTTCACATTCATAGATAGAATTACCATTTAAATTAATATGAATTTTATTTATTTTAACATAATCTTAACTTTTTAGTGTATTTTCATCTAATTCCCCATTTTTCCGATTTTCATTTTTTTTCCATGCATCAAAATTTATTTTTTTTTGTGTGTCGAAATTTCCTCGACTAAACTCTCAACGATTCACAGCATCAGCATGATTTTTCCATCTGGATATCAAGACAGATTTAATGCGATGTTGATTTTTCCAACTACTTTTTGTCGCTCTATACAACATCCACATATTCTTTATAGTTTGTGGATATGTGATGGAATAAAGATGATGACAAGCGTAAGATGAAATCAAGCATTTTTTTATGTACAGCATACAGATGTGTATCAGTGGAATCAGAATTGTATGCTTTGAGGGAATTGAGATTGAGATTAACTGCTGTATGCTGTATTACACACCACAGTATTTAAAGTCAACTTTTCTTTATGCTTCTCATGCTAATCCATCTTCGTCGCTTTATATCATTTGGAAATAATTAGGCAAGCTCTTTTTGGTGACTTCTGTGCGTAGCGCTGACATTGTTTTGATTTTTTGA